GAATTGTTAATGACTAATTTATCTTATAGTTTAAATTATTAAAAATCCTTATTTTTTATGTTCCCAATATACCCTTCACATGTGGCGAGATTGTCTTCATAAGTGGGCTAAACACGTACAAATATTTTAATTATAAACGTCACTACGAGCATAAGATAGGATTTATGCAATAAGCGATGTTAAGTTTGATACTAGTGAAAGTATTCAGAAGATGCTGTTACATAATTTATAACTATAGGGTATAAATTATTGAAAGGAGTTGGAACTTGAATTTCATTAATCCCAACTATCACATTTTATTGTTGGAAAACTATAGACCCAAAGCATTTTCATAAAATGCTATGCTAGCTTCATTTTGGATTCACCTCACACTCCATCAAAGTGAATGCAACTTCTTCCTTTTCTTTTTGTATCAACATTTTTTTTTTTCTATATTAATTCAACATGAAGGATTACAAATAGTTAACAAAGACAAAAGAGAAAGTTTCATGAAAAAGGGCACACACCAACTAGATCATCACATTGCATTAGCAATACTTTTCTGTTAAATTTTTTGGGTATGTAGTATTACTGTTTATTATTTGAAGTACCTTATTGAGTTCAATGATTTTCATACTCTTATATACATACTTTTCTTTACTGTTGTTGCACAAGAAATGAGCTCCATAGCCTCATGATACCTTGCGAAGATTATTCTAAAGTTAAGTTGTTGCTTTAGAATTTTGAGTTATAATATTGTGAGCATAAAATAAATGCTTCCAATTCTATTTAAACTAGTGCAATAAAGGCTAAAAGAAATCTCAACTTGCCTTCCAAATTTGTGCACATAGAAGATCAAAAGTAGAACACTTCAAGAGCTTGCCTCTTTCAATTACTAATTGATAATGTATCTGCACCAGCTACAGCTACAGCAGCAGCTCAGCCTATATCTACAGAAGCTCAGCCTATATCTACAGAAGTTGAGCTGCAGTTAAAGCCACAGAGCTAAGCTCATTTCTGCAGCAGAGTTATACAGTAGAAGCTGCCCAAATCTGTTACAAATCAGTTAGAGCTATTAATACACATGTTACATATAGTGAGTTAGTTAGAAAGTTGTTATGTTAACTATACCTTAGTTAACTGTACCTTAGTTAACTAGTAACTAGAGTTACAATTAGTTTGTTGTATATAAATATACCTGTGTTGAAGATATGTTGTATAATGAAATATTAGATTCATATTCTCTTTATAGTTAGTTAGAAAGTTGTTATGTTAACTATACCTTAGTTAACTGTACCTTAGTTAACTAGTAACTAGAGTTACAATTAGTTTGTTGTATATAAATATACCTGTGTTGAAGATATGTTGTATAATGAAATATTAGATTCATATTCTCTTTATAGTTAGTTAGAAAGTTGTTATGTTAACTATACCTTAGTTAACTGTACCTTAGTTAACTAGTAACTAGAGTTACAATTAGTTTGTTGTATATAAATATACCTGTGTTGAAGATATGTTGTATAATGAAATATTAGATTCATATTCTCTTTATGGTATCAGAGCCACATAGCTCTTGTGAGCATTAAAAGCTTCCTCTTCAATCTATCAATGGTGAATTTTCATCAAGAATCTGCAATGGCAGATCTTCCAGCAAGATCAACAACAATGGCAGCTTCTTCATCTGGTATAACTACCAGTTCTTCTTTACCTTCAAATCTCACTTTGCTCATCTCCAATCTGAATTCGTTTGTTCCAACAAAACTTGAGTCTACAAATTATTTGATATGGAAAAGTCAATTCCAAAACATATTACGAGCTACAAATCTACTTGGATTTGTTGATGGATCAGAGATTTGTCCTCCTTCCACAGTTCTTGATGAGAGTCATAATGCTGTAGTGAATCAAGCATACACAGAATGGATCAATGTTGATGCACATTTACTTAGTTGTCTTATTGCTACACTATCTTCGTCCATATTCACATCTGTTCTTCATTGTATCACTAGTCATGAAGTATGGACTACATTAGCTACAAGATTCACCTCCTTGTCCAGATCACATGTACATCAATTGAAATCTAAGCTTAGTCATCTTACCAAGAAGAATTCAACAATAGAGGACTATCTCTGTCAAATCAAGACTATTGCTGATCAATTAAGTCTTGCTGGCTCACCAATTCATGATGAAGATCTGGTTTTACTTACTCTGAATGGATTACCTGATGAATACAATGCCTTTAAAACATCCATCCGTACCAGATCTGAACCTATCTCTATTGCTGCCTTGTCTTCCTTATTATGTTCTGAATCTATTCACATTGAAGGCTTCCTGAAACAAACACATACAGCAGACCTCCCATTTGCTTATGCTGCTAACAGAACTTATTCTAGAGGGAATTCTAGAGGTTACACCAGAGATGGTTCTAAAAGTAACAACTCAGGAAATTCAGGCAGATTTTATCAAAATACTTACAGAGGTGGAGGACAAGGTAACACCTATAGAGGTGGAGGACAAGGCAGAGGTGGAGGCCAAGGCAGAGGTGGAGGCCAAGGCAGAGGTGGAGGCCAAGGCAGAGGTGGAGGCCAAGGCAGAGGTGGAGGCCAAGGCAGAGGTGGAGGCCAAGGCAGAGGTGGAGGCCAAGGCAGAGGTGGAGGCCAAGGCAGAGGTGGAGGCCAAGGCAGAGGTGGAGGCCAAGGCAGAGGTGGAGGCCAAGGCAGAGGTGGAGGCCAAGGCAGATCATCTTTTCATCATTCAGACCAACATGGACTGATTTGTCAAATTTGTGGCAAATCAAACCACTCAGCCATGGATTGCTGGCACAGAATGGATCAAACTTTTCACTCCTCCTCTTTACAAGGAAAAGGATCACAGTCTAAGGCCTATGTTGCCTCTTCTTCTTCAACCACTTCTGCTGCATCTGTCCCAGAATATCAGTCTGCCTATGCTGCATCTGTCCCTGATTCCAATTGGTTCTTAGATTCTGGAGCAACAACTCATTTCACCAATGATCTTAATAATTTCACTCAATTTCAGCCTTATCAAGGTTCTGATCATGTTACTATAGGAGATGGTTCTACTCTGCCCATTCATCACACTGGAAATGGTTTGCTTCCTACACCAAGTACTTCTTTTCACCTTCATAATTTGCTTCATGTTCCTTCCATTTCTACCAATCTTTTGTCAGTTCATCAATTCATAAAAGATAACAACTGCACCATTACTTTTGATATTGATTGATGAAAACAAATATAGACTAGTCGAATCCAGGATAAAATGATTTGAGAATGTAGATCCAACTTATCCTCGTGGAGGAAACTGTCCCTGGGTTTCTACATCATCGATAATCCTTAAAGCAATAAAATAAAGAAGGTCCAACAAGGATAGAGAGATTCTCACCATCTAACACATGAAAAGGGATATAAACTACCCAAGAGAAGGGAGATTTAATCTATGCTCGCGGAGGAAACCCTGTTTGGGCTTCTATATCAACAAAAATCCATAATGGAGAAAACTACAGAAGGCTCTAACAAGGATAAAGAGATTCGCAATTTCTAGCTCATGAAAAGGGGTATAAGCCACCCAAATTAATAAAATAGCAATGGGAAATGAGATTCAATCCATAGGCTTCTAAACGGAAATAAATCAATAAAAAGCAAGTCAGACTTTACCAAAGTCACTATATAGGCCTCCACTAGCCATAGAAAGGGCAAGAAGAAGAAAGCATCAAACTAAACTATCAAAAGAACAATCCAACAACGATCTCAAAATCTCAAGAAAGCTCCAACCATAAAGAAAAAGTGATAGAAGATGAAATAAACTTAAGGATGGAAGTAGGGATTACCTTTAAGATAGTAAAGATAGAGCCCAAGGTAAACTCCAATCCAAGCTCCCTCAAGCTAACAAAGATCTCTAGCTTCAAGTCTCCAAGCAAAGACATGAAGAGGATAGTCCAAATGTAGAGAATATGTATGAATATCAATGTCCAAGTCTCACTAACCTTCACTTAAATTGATTAATTTACTCAAATAATTAGCTTAGTTAAATTAAGGTCACTCAATCAACTAAATAGATTGTGTAATAATACTAAAATTTTCTAACCCTTAATTCTTCAAGATGAGGGGTTTTTATAGGGTTGGGGGGCTTGGAATATGCCATTTGATCCTTAAGTATCCAGATGGCATATTCCAAGGTGTTAGGGGACATCTCATGAGAAACCTGTTTGGTTGGCGTCAAAATTTTTTTGCCAGATAACACTTGTCCGGCCGATTGATAGTAGTCTGTCGTATTTCCTCCAAAATCTATTTGGCTGGACAAAAACGATTTGGGCGTGTTGGTCTTGATAAAACCTATCTGGATGTGCTCGCACTAAACAAAGTTGTTCGTCGCTTTGCTCAAAAGTTGTCTGGCCGATTGGGGGATCTCCTAGAAGGATAGCCGAGCGCCCAAAAGTTCAAACCCCCGTTTGGGTTCACAATGTGCAATGTGAAACAAATGAGAGTCCAAATCTGGAAAATCTGTAAAAAAATTTGCTAATCACAAGAAATGTCAAAAGTGGACTACATCACCAGATTCAAAGTCGCCACCTAACCTTTTGGGAAAACTAGGAAACTCATGACTCATGCCAAAGGCCACTATCCATCACAATCAAAGTGTCTCAGTTTGGGAATTTATGTATGAGGGAGGAATATCATGAATTGAGCACCCCTACCTACTTGATCAAAGATCGGCCTCTACTAATTCACAATATGAGATTCATTCCGATTATTAATGCTAAAACTACTATGTGGAACAAGCAAGTATAGACTAAATCACTTACTTTACTTTGGAATGCTTTGATCTCATGCATTTAGAAAAGAGTTTGAAAATGTACAACTGAAAGGAAAGATGATTTCACATGCATAGAAATCAAAATCATCCAAACTTAATTGTTGCACAAGAAATGAGCTCCATAGCCTCATGATACCTTGCGAAGATTATTCTAAAGTTAAGTTGTTGCTTTAGAATTTTGAGTTATAATATTGTGAGCATAAAATAAATGCTTCCAATTCTATTTAAACTAGTGCAATAAAGGCTAAAAGAAATCTCAACTTGCCTTCCAAATTTGTGCACATAGAAGATCAAAAGTAGAACACTTCAAGAGCTTGCCTCTTTCAATTACTAATTCCTTCCACGCCTCAACAACTTCCTTCTTAATGCTAAGTGAGATTAGTTGGAGCCCTCCTTGTGGGTCAATTTGGCTGAATTTCGCAAGCTCGGTTTCCCAACGCCTATCATCAGATGCCATGGCTTGCATAGGTATTCTATAGAGATCTTGAATAGCTGCAATATGGTCTTGTTCATAGATTGAAGTAGCTATGGGGGTTGAATAAGGAGTGCAAATAGCATTCAAGAGGGCATTTCTTGAATGGTTGGGCACTATAAGATCGGATTCATCTTTCCCGGTTGCTATATGAGCCCAAGATGCTAGAAAATTGAATGCCCCAATGCCGTCAAATAGGGTATGGCTACTTCCAAAACCAATTGAAAACCCTCCACAAGCAAACCTTGTAATCTGCAAATGGGGAAGAATACTAAATAATATTTGAAATAGGTATCTCATGATAAATATTATTCCATTAAGTTTGAAATTAAAAATGAAAATTTTCATTTTGTTTTTTGAGTTTTCACCACAGATTGAGAGATTAGAAACTGCAACCATCCATGCAAAATTGATTTTTTTTTCATTGGCCAAAAAAGAAATATTATTAACTCGAAACTAAAAAGTACATCAAAATATGAGAATTATGGAACAACCATCCTTGCAATATTGATGGTTAAGATGATTTATTGAATTCAAGTCATGGGGATGTATGAAATAATTAACCAATGGCTGTATCTTCCCTTTTATTTTATTTTTTTGTTTAGTTTTTTCCTTTTTCTACCATAGTGTAACTTGAAATTTGATCTTGATATTTGTGGTAATCATATGAGGATTAGATTTTCCAGGTTGATCATGACTAACCATTGAAACTAATCAACAGAGCAAAAGCTTGGCTAAATATGTGCATGAGCATGATTAGCATAATCACTAATAAAATAGAACGCGAATCAAACACAATGGTGAGTAAAAATAAATACATATATGAACTCACATAAAAGATCTATAGTAATTAAGAACAAAAGAATTATGAAAACTTGACTCTACGGCTATGTTTGTTTGGGCGGACTGGATTAGTATTCCCATGACTAATAGTCCTATGACTACCAATTCGTTGGATTATGTATCCTATCTTAACTAATAGTCAAGTTTAAAATAATTAGTCCGTACTTCAATTGTTTAACCAAACATCGGATTAATAATTTTATTGGACTATTAGTCCAATCCCAAGCTTATGTCCACCCAAACAAACATGGCCTACGGGTTAAGGGTTTCTTGCCTCTTTCGTGTCAACCAACCAACTAACCCTTTGTGACTAATCGAGTTGGAGATTTTAGTTGACTTGCATGGCTATCCATGTCTAGCAATTGATATATGATGGAAAGAAAAATATAATGTATCAGAATACATGATAGTATCAGCTGATATTGAACAATATTAACATATTAGTAAATAATGATATGAAAAGTTCTAAATCCAGTACGTATCAACTGATATTCAAAACTTACATAGACCTTTCCAATAAACATTTTATGCATGCATGATAATACATAAATATCATGAACCGATCAAGAGAACATAAACTTCTGTCTATTTCTCATGTTAATTAAGTTATCATTTAACCCTAAAAATTTGAGCAAAAATAGAAATCAGTTGATGAAAATAAAAAAAAGATAAAAGTTTAACATATCTAGGGTTTCTTTAGTTCTGAACCTGCACAACAACTAATGGGTTTTTTGATATATCTTCAGCATCAGGAAGCTGAGGAACCAGTTTTTCATAGCAAGGCTTATATTCACATAGCCTCCCAAGCTCTTCAAGCTTTGAACCGGTTTTTGCAGTTATTGCAGTGACACCTTGGTTATTACAATCAATCTCTAGCTTTTCTGTTTCCGCGTTGATTCTAAGCCTCCCCGCTGTAGGAAACCACGAAATGAGCACCTTTTGCAGAGCTGTTTTGGCTCTGTCAACAACATCATCTGAAGAAGAAGAAGATGTTTTTTCATTGTTGAACTGAGACTTGTAAAAGAAGATGGTGTAAAGAATTGCAGGAGATATCCTGTCCAGACGGGAGAGTTGGATAGTCTGTCTTTCAGGCTGTTTGCTTGGCCTTATTGATATAGTTTCCTCCAAGGTTATCTTGAGTTCTTCCATAGCTGATTTCAAGGATCACAACTGAAATTTTAATTGGTTTTGCTGAAATTATGAAAGTTGTCTTGTCTCACCTTCATCCAAAGTCGCAAACCCTAGAATTATATAACTTCTATACTATGGGATACTGTTGGGATATGTTTTTTAAGCAATGATGCTCATTGCCAATAGTTGTATTCATTGTACTTTTAATTTTCATTAATAAATTTTTAGGGAAATAATAATTCAGTGTGTTTGTAAAAATAATTTCAAATCAGTGAAAAATTTTACAAATTTTAATAATTGAAGTCATAAACTTTTTCATTAAACAATAATTATTTTGAAAAAATACCACTATTGTGTTATTTTTCTTAAATTTTTAGTTTTTACTTATTAAAAAAAATAAACGAAAAAAAATATGGACTACCATGTGAGGAGGTCAACTTTGAAAAAAAAATTGAGGCTCCGTTTGGTAAGTCTCTCAAATTATAGTTCTACCCATTGATTTGAGTGTGGTGTTTGTTTTGAGTTTTCAAATCATAATTCTATACCCATTTCTTAAAACACAATTCAAAACATAATCATTACTTTTCAAAACTTATAGCCAAACACATAATTCAAAACTCTTTTTAAAACTCAATTCAAATCAATATTTTAATTTTATTAAGATTTTAAATATTTTAATATTTAAATATGTTACGATTTTTTTTTTTTTTTTGTTATGTATTTGGTTACGATTTGAGTGTAGAGTTGTGAAAGTAGTATAAAGTTTCGACTTATGTGTTTAGTTATGAATTTTAAAAATAATTTCTTAATTGAGTTATGTTTTATGTGTTTGGTTACGATTGGAGTGTAGAGTTGTTTTTAAATTTAAAATTTTAAAATATTTATTTTAATTTTTTACTTATTAAATTTTTTAGATTATTTAAATTATTTAAATATTTATGATTTAAATTTTTTGAACATTTATTTTGAAAAAAAATTTGTTTCCTTTGTAGTATTTTCAATTAAAAAATTCATTAATGTTATTTTCTGTTAATAATAAAAAAAATTATTGAATTTAAAAAAGAATTTGGTTATGAGTGTTGATCAAAAATTTCAATAGTGTGAAAGTAGTATGTTTTGTTATGAGTTATAACAATTTGAATTAAATTTTGAAAACTCTTTCCAAAACCCATAACCAAACAAATTTTCTTACTTCACATGTCAAATCAAACTTTCAAAATTCAATTTCACACTCAATTCAAAACTCAATTCAACACTCTATTCAAAAATCATAACCAAATAAATTTCTACACTCAAATCATAATTTCAAAACACACAAACTCAAAATACAACTCATATTCTCAAATCATAATTAAAAAATCTTACCAATCATAATTTCAAAACACACAAATTCAAAAAACAATTCATATTCACAAACGGAACATGAATTTCTCTCCAATTAGTCAACCGTACTAGATGGTACAGCCCAATCTCGTGCGGTCACCACATGGTTTGTTATCATAGTTAGCCATCTTCATCTTCACAAGTTTTGATCATTCAAGAAAAAAGTTAGATCAATTTGATAATAATGTCATTTTTCATATTAATTTTGTAGTATATTAGTAATATTATATTTATCATTTATATTTTTAAATCAATAAAATATATTATCATTAATTTTATTTTTTTTAATATATATTAGACGATTATGACTATTGATTGATTTTTTAATTTTTTGTATTTCATAGATGAATTATAGACATAACTAGGTCTTGAAAACCAATTGAGCTAATTAACAAAATAGGTCCCGCCATGACAAAAACAATCAACTTAACTGGACGATTCAATCTAATTCTGAACAAAAAAAAGGTAGCCTCCTCATAAATAAGACCCTCCCCCCTTCCACGGTCGGCCACCCTCTACGATCGGCCCTCTTCATGGTCGGCCCCTCCACTCGGCCACCCTTTACGGTCGGCCCTCCTCATGATCGGCCCCTCCACTCGGCCACCCTACACGGTCGCCCCTCTTCACGGTCGATCCATCCCCTTGGTCATCCCTACCGATCGACCTCCATCCTGCCGATCTCTAACAACCCTCATCTTCGTCATTAGTATTCCCTTTGTTGGACTAAAGCTACACTGGGGAATGGGGGACTACTGACGTGGTTAGGCCCATAAAGGCCATAGCCCACTACGAACAACCCAAGCCCATCACTTACAACCCAATACATAAGCCAATTGATGAGGTCCAGAACAACTGGAAACCAACATGACACGAAGGACCAATAATACTTAGGCACGTGGCAGGCAAAGGGCAAGCCACATCAGCAGACAAAGATCTGCAAAGTTACTGCCACTACACATCGCTATTAATGCAGCCCCTCACAGCATTTATTACGACAATACCTCTCTGTCGAAACAGCACGCCCTCGCCCTGAATAAGGTAAGCTACAGCATAGATTTTTGGCTAAGGTGACAGGTCGGAAGGGACAACGAAATGATGACCAAAGGATATAAGTAGATGTTGAAGACAAAAAGAAGGTTAAGCTTTCTATCTCTAATTCATATCTCTACATTCCACTTCTCCCTCTCTCTAACTTGCTCGTCGGAGGGTTCGCTGGGGGACACTCCGTTCCCTGTTGAACTCTTATGCAGGTTCTCAGGTGGGCTTGACCACTCGGATATTGGCTTGACGTGGATCAGTTCGACCTGTTCTACCAAGAACCCGTTGTATCATAACTGTATCATCAGTTGGCGCCGTCTATGGGAAGTCGCTTTGCTTCGCGCGCCAGTTGTGCTCATTGTCACCGGGGACCCTGTTCCAATAACCTTTTCATGCTACCCATCAATGTGTATGGTCACGACTAGATCCATGGCTTCTCACCAAAATGCCGCCGACCATCAAGCCGACCTCCCCAATCCAAACAACCCACCACAGTATTTCATCGAGCTTACCAACAGCATCAACCGCATGGTCGAGTAAAACCAAGCCCTGATAAACGCTCTACTCCAAAGGGACCTTCCTATGCCTCCTCCACCACCTCCAGATATTCCGCCCAACCAAGAACGAGCTTTGAGCCACACTATCTCGCAGCCCTATCCACCCAACTTGGAAGGCCTGCAACCTCCTCCTCCTCATATAAATCCACCACCTCGACCCCCGCATCCATCGGTCCTGGCACCAACCCTTGAGGGGGAAGCCAGTAACGTCCAACCCCCGCTCCCTTCCGGTGATGATAACATCCCTCTCTGGGATGCAGAACTCCGAGCCATGAAGCTCCAACTTTAAGGTGTCATGCAGAACATCCAGCATAAACCCTCTACCACAACAAACACACCATTTGTTGCCTCCATCCGAGACAAACCTCTACCCCTCAAGGTCAAAATGCCCACCATCGACTCTTTTGATTGCACAACGGACCCAGTCGACCATCTGGAGACCTATAGAACCCTCATGATCCTCCATGCATTCCCTGACGAGATCATGTGTCGAGCTTTCCCCGTGACACTGTGTAAACGTCCCCGAACGTCCCGAGAGGAAATCTCCCCCGTTTTGTTCATTGGGCTCACTACAGTTCAGGACTCAATGTCACGGTCCTGTATCTAATCTCGCAGAGTGCAATGCAAGACCGATGAAATCATCAAAGAGTCCAAATCCGACAAATCGTTTTTGAAAATAGATTTTCTGAAAGAAGTGCCAAACATGGACTGCTTTGCTAGATACAGAGTCGCCACCTAAATATTTTATTTTGGGAAATTTAAGAAACCTTGACTCGTTGCCTAAGGCCACGTGTCCGTCATCACCAAAGTTACTTCGGCTCGGGAACTTGGGTACAATTGGGGAAGGTCACTTCGTGAGCACCCCCGTTCGCCCGATCAAAGATCGGCCTCTACTAACCATGATATCTAGTTTTGAAAACATTATGCGTTCTTATTCCGGTTATTAGCCTAGATTTACTATGTGATGCGCACAGCATACAAGTATAGACTGGGTCGCCTGAATTTGAATGAAACATCTCACGTTTGTTTTGAAAACGGTTTAATGGTGCCACCCGCAAATAGGCTAAAATGTGGATTTGCCACCCTCAGGTGGGCTTAGAAAACAAGGTGATTTGCCACTAGCTAGTGGGCTCAAAACTCACAATTTGATAAATTGTTCCAATCCAAATAACCCAACCTTCACCCACAGGCATTCAGGCAGGTATATCATATAAGCAAATAGCCTCATGGTAAGCATGCTATCATGGCAGTCACTCACACACATGCAAGGATGCTAAAGCATAAACACTTACCGAGTACTCCAAGCCAAAACAAAAGCTATGTTAGAAATCAATGCATGATCCTAACTATACAGAAATGCCTAATGCAACACATGCAAAATGCAACTAAGATAGGCTCGGCTATTCTAAAGATGGCATGTGATGATGCTACAGCTAACACGTATTCAATTTGGAATTGAAATACAAATGCAGTTAGTATTGTGCGCCGAGACCGGTGCATGCAATACAGATGAATGAATGCAAACATGCTATCATACTGTATGCTAATTGAAACATGCCCTAATCTAACCATCATAAGCAGGTAAATAAAAGGGAGAAAGACGTGGGGTTGGAAGACATACATCACACGCACGCACACTTATTACAGTTGTGCCCTCGCTCGGAGGGTCCGAAAGAATAATGCAGTCCGAATAAATAATTACAGTCCGGAATGAATAATTAACTATTACAAAGCCCTAATCAATTAACAAATTAACTAGGAAAGCGATAAACTAGCATGTAAGCCTATGGACTGCCTCAGCTCTGTTCCGAATGGTGGAATGATGTATGCTTGAATTGCCTGGCGCGAAAATCCATTGCCATGCCCCGATTTGCCTCTGTTTGCAATTTTTCTCGGAATATTATGTAAAGCTCCAGAAGGCCGCTGATTTATGATTTACTGCAACAGAGAGCAACAAAGGGGCATGGCAAAGTATTTTCACATATGTATACATAACTATTCTTCAGGGAGTGTAGTTCTCGATCCTCGTGCCACCAATCACGCATATCGATGCATGATGGCCGAGGAGTCGAATTGCACGACTCGGTGTGAAATGAATGCACATGAAAACACAACAAGACCTAAACTCTATCATGGGTAATCCGGAGTGTCGACGACTAGGGAATTGAGACACGTTTCGTCACTCGGAGTACGAAACGTCCCTCGTTTCCCGTGCTTGGGCTAACTCCTATCCCAAACACAATGCAAATGAGATGTCCGTCACTCGGAGTACGAAACGTCCCTCATTTCCCGTGCTTGGGCTAACTCCTATCCCAAGCACTATGCAATATGCATGACATGCATGAATGCAATCCTAACATGCAACCTAGCATACGCAATGCTATGAAATGGCATACACAATGCTCTAACATACAACCTAGTATACGCAATGCTATGAAATGAAATGGCATACGCAACGCATAATGGACTTACACCAATCATGAGTAGACCTTAGCCACACTCACATCAGTAGCCATTAGATGAAAATGAGATGATCGAAATGCGTGCACACATGCACGCAAACTGAGGACCGAGCTTAAGGCATTAAATGCCACTCTACCAAAACATGGCAAGGATGAAGCATGGCATTCAAACATGTAATTTTTAGCACTGAAACATAATGCTAAATGGTCCCGAAACATGGGAATATGGCACCCGATGCATGGAATAAGCCCCGAAACTCAAAACTAGTCCAATACATTGAACCACAAGTATGCAAAGAAAGCATTATTTGATCATGAAGCCTAAAGACAGAGCCAAGGCAGTCCCAAAACATGCACATTTCTAGTTTAGAGCATGGCCAAAAGATGCTAAGATGATGGGCTAAAATAGCATGCAATATTGGCTGGCAAGCATGGTTTACATGGCATGTAAATGAAGCAAATGAGAACTCATCAAACTAGCCAAAAACAGTGAACCAAACATGCCAAAATACGCTCAAATAATCACTGAAATGCAACCAATGCATGCAAAAATGAGGGGCTTCTTTGGAGGGCCTTGTAAGGGGTTGTTAAGCACATACAAGATAGACACTTAGCATGACCAAACCAACTCTAGAAATGAGTTATGACAGCCCTAAAATTCACAAAATTGGCCCTGAAATCAGTCAAGGAAGCATACGATGAAAGGCCCCCTCAAAAGGCCTTGAATGGAATTGTTCTACACATGCACTATAGACATAAAATATGATCCAAAGAGCCCCAGACAGACCTAAGGCAGACCCTAAAACTCACAAAATTGGCCCTGAAACAAGACCTCGATGCATGAAAAAAAGGGTCCCTTTGGAAGGCCCAAAAGACCCCCAAACAAGACAAGGAGAGAGGGGGTCACCCCTCTCTATTTTGGCCCTCAAAAATGCATCAAAGCCACTGAAAATCCACTGGACTTCAGTGGCTAAGAGGCCGAACCATGGCCAATGCAAATGCTCTAATGCACAGCCTTAATCACGAAGGGATGAAGCATGCATAGGGGGAAGATGACCCCAAACAGAAAAGTGACCTTAAGAAAACTTGAATAGGAGCTCAAAATAAGACTTTTTCCAGTTTATAACAAATCTCGAAAATGTTCACAAATAAGGCTAAAGTATGATGCAAAAAAAGGCCTACAAAGAGGGGTAAAGCATGGAAGGGTGTAGGAAGCCTCAAACAGAAAAGTGCTCTTAAACAAACATGAAGAGAAGCTCAAAATAAGACTATTTTCAGTTAAACCAAGGCTCAAAAATTCTTGCAAATGGAGCTAAGGTATAGGGCAAAATAATGCAAAAATGGGGGAAATGAGGACTTACCCTTGAAGAGCCGACCTCCAGCAGCTTTTGGACCAAGTTGGTGATCTTTCAACCTCTGCAAATGGCTTTCAAGGTGCTAGAATGGATGATGGAGGTGTGGTGCTAAGGGTTGTAGTATAAATGGACCAAGAAAGTTAGGGTTTTGGAGCTTGGAATAGTGGCAATGGAGGATGGAGGGTATATGCCTTAAGCAAAAATGTCTAACCCTTAGATATGAAGATGAGGGCCTCTCTTATAGAGAAGAGAGGCCAAAGCTTCTCTTGGAAGCTTCAAAGATCCTCCATACACGTGTACGGAGGATGCACCAAATGGTCTCCAGCTGGCACAGCTGGATTACACTCAGAGAGAGCAAAAAGCAAGAAGCAGGCCGACCAGTTCAAGTGGCCGACCGGCCACTCCCCCTGGTCGGCCGACCAGGGGTCAAAAGGTTCAAGCCCCAAAGCTGGTCGTCCATGAAGCCCTTGAAGTTAGCTTTCCAATGCCGCAAACCTTGCATTAAAATTCCTCCTGTGCAAAAAGTTATGCCAGTTTTGGTGAAGCCGCGCAGATTCGGTCCAAACGGACTTCAACCAGCCATATCTCCCCCACCCGGACTTGTCCTTAAGAGATTCACCACCCTACGAAAGTACCAAATGAAGCTCAACCCGGAGAAGTGCGCCTTCGGCATAGGATCTGGGAAGTTCTTGGGTTTCATGGTCAGTCAGCGGGGCATTGAAGCTAACCCTGAAAAGATCAAGGCCTTGATTGAAATACAGTCACCACTACAAGAAAAAGGGGATACAACAACGTTTATTTAGTAGCGTTTTTTAAAACGCTGTAAAATATGAAAAATCTAGCACACGATTTTGTTTTCTACACGCCGGTCATCGGTAAATGGTAGGACAACGTTTTTGAAACGTTGGGCTATGGTTAAAACGGTGTAGTTTAGTTTAGATAAAAGTACTTATTTTTCTTTTAAATTTCTTTTTTTGCTTTTAAGAGTCGTAGGAGTCCAAGAGAGAGAGAGAGAGGCGACTTCAGAGAGATACAGAGAGAGAAAGAGAGGGATCAACACTTGGTGGTTCGATTTGGATCGATTCTTCGTCATCTTGATCTTGAAAAGCTGGTTCTATATTTGATTTGACCGTTTATCTTAGTTATTGTTCGAATCTCTGTAATTTAAATCGATCTAGGGCTCTTTCTTCTTCGTGTTTGGGTGCGGCATGGCTCAAGGTAAGGGATTTGTTGAATTCACCAAAGATCTGTGTAGTTTCATGGCTAAAAAGTAACGATCTAGAATGTATTTACGTTGATGTTTGTAAATTCAGTTTCTTCTTCACTCGATTTGGTTGAAATCTAGCATTTTTTTCTTTTGCCTTTTGTGTTTTGCTTCTTTCTTCTAGTTTTCGTTCTCTTCCTCTTTATGGTCCGCACATTGGGATGGAGTTCTTGATCACCAGCAAATGGAAAGAATAGAGTGGTGATAGAGAGATGTTGCTGCCGATCGAGAGTTGCATCCAACAGCCTCGGTATCACAGAACACTAGTTCAGGGGCTTGAAGCGTGGTGCTGTGTCCTTCATCAACAGCTCAGCCTTATCAATCTCTGCTTCAAGTAGACCAATTTCAAGCTCATTCGATCTCTGCTTCAGTCTATACACTGCCATTGAAGAGCTCAATCGAGTTTGGCCAGGTCAAACTCATCCAAAAGTTAAGTTCAGATATGTCAAGCACATTTATGCAAACTTAATCAAAATCACATATTTTTTCATCAACTAAAAATTTGATTTCCGTTTTCGGATTATCTTCTTCACAAAAGGCAAAACCAGTCCTTCATTAGCATTTGATTTTATACTTTGTTTTTGGAGATTTTGATCGAAAATCAAGATTTTAAAGCTCCAAGCTGTGGTCTATGCTCTGTTTTACAAGATTTTTTTTTTCTCTCTCTCTTTTTTTTTGGGTGGGCTTCAATGTTGAATTCGTTTCTTCGTTTTGCCAAACAGAGCACAAGACATTGCTTTTTACTAGTATTTTAAATTTGTTCATTCAACTCTAAGATATGTCCCTCAAGTGTATTGTATGTATATATATATATATGAAGCTTATTGCTTGTTTTGGTTGCAAAGTTCGCAGAGGGGTCGCCATTAGAGGTAGTTCCATTTTTGCACTATTTTCTTGAGAGTTGCACTAGCATAGGGAAATCAATACTAGGAATTTGTAAGAGATGAGAAAACATGAGATATTTGGAACCTGAGAAAAATTAAGAAATGTTGAGTTTGAGCAAGCCTAGTACTGTCATTTGGTCTGCTTGAGTTAAGTAGAGTTGCACTTTTCTTGTTCATTTTATTAATAAGCAATAAACTAGGCCTTATAGACATGCAACTCATGCATAATTGTTTAAAAGGGTATTTGTTTACTTTGTGGTCTTGCATTTTACCATATCATTGTGAAGGTTTTGGGATTCTCTAATATGTTCAGTGTTCTTTGCTTGTTGCTAAATGAAGGTTATTTTAGGTTGTTTTCCAGCTAGATTGTGGAAACACTGTCAATATATTTTCAAATGTTGTTAAAGCATTAAAATGTGGCCCCTGTTTTGGAATGTTTTTCCATCTTCATGTTTTTGTTTAAATGTGCTCAATAGGCCCATTAATTGCTAAAGCAATGGTTGGCTATCTGTCTGTACCTGTCTTTTCTTTTTAAAGAGATACTTGAGACCAATTAGAGAGGAATCCATGAATATTTTGCTATTTGCATCATAAACTAATGATGATGATGATGATGTTATTAATTGCTAAGAGAATAGGGGTTTTCTCGATAAAATTTGCCCCATTTATGTGGTTGCTTTGTTGATGTATTCTGGTTTTCAAAACATTGCTTTGAATGGTTACATCATTACAGCTAGTTTCTTAATTGAAATTTATAAAATTATTATTGCATAACATTAGATGTTATGTTTACTGCAATTTTCTTTGGTAGCCGCACTTGAGCTATAATATGTGCCTTCAAGTTCTATGTATAATTGAATATAGGCTATAAATTGTTCAATTTTCAGAGGACATCCACTCGCACCCCAAGTGTGCTAAATGTTTAATCATGAATCTATTAATGTTTACTAAAATTTTTATTTGTATTTGTCACAATCTTCATGTGTTTACTAAATTATCTGAGTATTAGGTAGTATCACGAGTTGTCTTGCCTGGCCAACTCCCAATTGGCTTTGTATGCATTGTGGATTGCATATTGTCCTGTTGACTAATTTGTAGTCCTTATGATTGTCGTTGTATTGAACTGTCAGGCATACATGGCACTTAATGATATAGATGCTGCTATCGAAAGTTTCAAGAAGGCATTGGAATTGGAGCCAAATGATGGTTTGTGACAGTTTTTAACCTTGAACTTTTTATAAATATAATGCATTGTTAAAACTTTCAGCACATTATGAATTTCACTCTGATGAAATCCTAAATAGAAAAAGAAAAAAAATTAACTTGGCAATAATTACCTTCTCTGTGGGCTACAAGTTTTATTTTTTATGGGTTTTTTGTATTCTACCATAACATTAATCTATTTTGGGAGATGGCTGAGGTCTTACTGAAAGTCATTTTGAAATTTGAATGACAGTTTTCAAGTACTAAACTAGATACTTAATAGTCTGGAGTTCGTAATTTTCATAGAATTGAGGTTTGAAACGTGATAACTGACTTGGTTTCTGGCATCTTTTAGCTGGAATAAAAAAGGAGCTGGCTGCTGCAAAGAAGAAGGTTAGTATGATTGCATAAAATCTGAAACATTTTTTATGGCATTAAATGCTTATCAGCTACTGGGGTTTGAATTGTTGGAATTGGGACAGATTTCGGATAGACGAGATCTGGAGAGAAGCATATTCTAAGATGTTCCAATAGCAGTTGGTGGTTGCATGGTATGTTGGACCCCTTTTAAGAACTATTTCTCTGATTCTTTTTCCTTGAAAGTGTGGCTTTCTCATTTGGTTCTGGAATACCAGGCTACCATTGTCTCTTAGGAACAATATACAGTTAGTTACTGTGCTGATTCAATGTTGGATTGAGTGAATTTGTTCAGACTTTTTCACACATTCAGGTAATGTTGCTTTTGCTTTTCAGCCAAGTTTGGGTGACTTTTGTGTATGTCTACCAGTTTGCATCAATTCAAGAAATTTTCACTTAAGTTGTGGAGATTTCTTTGGCTGATCCATCTTATGATGATTTGACCTTAATTTGTTTCGGGTTATAAAATAGGGTTAGCTACACTAAGACTCCTTCAACTGAACGAATATCGGTTTACTCTCCCCATCTATGAACCGATACAGTCTAACCCCTCAACTATAAAACCGTGTAAATTCCTCTCTTGGAAGAAAAAAATTCACTACGATGGTGATAGCATGCCATCACCGACTTTATAAATTACCATGTAAGTATGATTAGTCCCGCTATGCAGTAGTTACAAAATTATGTTGGAATGGGTTGTTACATTTGAATAGTGGGGTTCACCATCCCATATGTAGTTTTATTATTGGTTGGTGATACTACATGTCAATGTTGACATGGTATAAAGGAGGTAAACTGATGGTATTCTTTAATAGTTGAGGAGGTATTGGTGTGATTAACCCTATAATTTTTTGGTAATGACAATTTTTTTGGGGATCCTTTTTACTGGTTTTCTGGAAGAAGATAAATAATTATTTTGTGGTGTTAGCAAGTTTTCTTTGCATTTGTTATGTTTTTTCTGATGGATTTTCTTTTCTTTAATTTGACTCCCAGGTTTTCATTTGAGGGTGAAGAACATGAGCATATATCCAAAACCGGCAAAACAACTATACAAATTTCAGGCCAGAGCCAAATTTTAACAACTAGATTAATCTATTTTTATTTATTTATTTTTGAGTTATTGTAGCTACCTGATCCAATGTCCATATTTCTCAAGGAACAACTACGTGTCTGGAGAGCATTAAATGGAGATATTTGCTTGACTAACCTTTTTTTTTTTTTATCACTGTTGGTTTTCGGTGTACTGTCTTAAAATTATATGGGTCCATGATAATAACATGTGCTGTATTGGCTTTTACACTCAAGGGTTACTTTCTCTTGAGTATTCATGATAATAATATTTTATTTGCTACTAATTTCATTTTTTTTTTTTGTTACATTTATTCTTTTCTTAATATTTTAAATTTTGAGATGATGATGGAGTATATGAATTTGGTTGTGATTTTTGTAATTTCAATTTTGATGTGTTTGGTTGAATATATATATTTTTTGAAACAGGGTTTGGAGAATTCTAGCTAGTAGCAAATAAAATATTATTGCCGAATGGTTAAAATTTCATTAGGTTGCATTCCCCCCCACCACCCAAAAAAAAAGAAAAAAGTGCTTTTAGTGGCGTTTTTGTAAAAAACGCCGCTATAGGGTCTATATGACGTCATCCCGCCGGAAGGAATCACCGCCGGTGATTGTAGCATGACGTTTTCTAAAACGTCGCAATAAGGTCTACAACGGCGTTTTTTAAACGTCACAAACATATAACGACGGCCGTATCTGCGGCGTATATTAAAAACGTCATCAAAGGTTTTAGCGGCGTTTTTGAGATAATTAGCGGCGTTTTACAAACGCCACTAAAAGCTGTATTTTTTGTAGTGCACCCAGAACGGTTAAGGAAGTTCAGAGACTCACTGGCCGAGTTGCCGCCCTCAACCGCTTCATTTCCCGCGCAACGGATAAATGCCTCTCCTTCTTCAAAGTTCTTCGGCAAACTTTTGAATGGACGACCGAGTCCGAATAGGCTTTTCAGTAGTTGAAGCAGTGCATGGTCAACCCCCTCTCCTTTCTCAGGCAATCACTAGTGAACCCCTTTTCCTCTACTTAGCCGTTTCAAGTACCGCAGTCAGTGCAGCTCTTATCAGAGAAGACGACTCTGTTCAACGGCCGGTCCACTACATCAGTCGAGCCCTCAGGGGTGCCGAACAGAATTACCCACTGTTAAAAAAATTGTCCCTAGCCTTGGTCACTACTTCCAGACGAGTCCGTCCTTACTTCCAAGCCCATTCCATAGTGGTCCTCACCGACCAACCTTTGAAGAAGGTAATGCAGTAACCAAAGCTCTCTGGCAGACTCATGCAATGGTCAGTGGAACTCAGCCAGTTTGACATCTCCTACCGACCTCGAATAGCAATTAAGGGGTAGGCTGTCACTGATTTCATCATAGAGTTCACTAATCCTATCCCAACCACGGCCACTCCACCCCCACCAACCCCTACCGAGCTAGAGGACCCTCATTCTTGGACTCTCAACGTCGATGGATCATCTCGCAGAGAAGGTAGCGGGGCTGGCCTCATCCTCACCGCCCCTGAGGGTGGTTATTTCAAATGTGCTCTCCGTTTCTTGTTCGATGCCAGTAACAATGAGGCCGAATATGAGGCATTGATAGCAGGGCTCCGCCTAGCCAGGGACATTGGTGTCAGCCACATCCGGGTGTTCAGCGACTCCTAGCTCATTATCGGACAAATTACGGGGGAATTCGATGCAAAGGAGGACACAATGCTGGCTTACAGGGATATTGCCCTTCCCCTTGTTCGCCTTTTCAATACTTTTCACATCCAACACATTCCTCGAGCGGAAAAATCAAAGGCAGACGAAATGGCTCAGTTGGCTTCTGCAGACCAGTCCGACCTCGGTCATGGTGTCTGTCTTGAGTACCTAGCCCACCCTGTCATTTCTCCCGATCAGCAAGAAGTACAGTTCCTCCAGAATGAGCCCATCCCTTGGGCGTCGGACATCTTTCTGTTTTTGACAACGGGGGAACTTCTAGATGACAAACAGCAAGCCGCCAAAGTTAAGACCCGGTCGTCCAATTATATCCTCGTCAGTGGTGTCTTGTACAAACGTGCCTTCCTCGCGTATGTATAAGACCGAATCCATTCGATTTCTAAAAAGGATTACTAATCCTTAACTTTTCGAGGAATCCTTCGTTTTTCATGCCTGTATCTGTGATGCCTCAATCCAGCTCAAGCAACCTATGTGATGCGAGAAATCCATAAGGGTATCTGCGGTAATCATTCAGGCGGCCGGTCCCTAGCCCACAAAATACTTCGCACTGGTTATTTCTGGCCTACCCTCAACCAAGATGTGACCGACTTCATACTCAAATGTGATAAATGTCAACGCTTCGTCAACATCTCTCATGCTCCTCCCACAGAGTTGATCACACTTTGCAGTCCTTATCCATTCGCCAAATGGGGGATCGACTTAGTTGGTTCACTTTCCACAGGCCGAGGCCAAACCAAGTTCTCGATTGTCGCCATTGATTACTTCACCAAGTGGGTAGAGGCAGAATCCCTTGCCATCATTACCGAATGGAACACAACCAAATTCATCTGGTAGTCGATTATATGTAGGTTTGGCATCCCTCAAGCCATCGTCTCCGACAACGGCAAACAATTCGACAACGCCAAGTACAGGAAGTTCTGTGCAGACCTCCAGATCCAACCCTGTTTCTCCTCCCCAGGTCATCCCCAAGCCAATGACCAAGTCGAGGTCACCAACCGTTCTCTTCTGAAGATCATCAAAACTAAGCTAGAAGCTGCTAAAGGACTTTGGGCTGAGGAATTACCGAATGTACTCTGGGCTTACCGTACTATCGCTCGGACTCCCACTGGGGAGACCCCCTTTCGCTTAATATACGGCTCTGAGGCGGTCGTCCCAATGGAAGTTGGTCTGCCTAACCCAAGGGTTTTACACCCGAACCCAGAACTGGCCAAAGAACTCCGTCGGGCTGACCTTGACCTAATCGAAGAGCTCAGAGAAACCACTGCTGTCAGACTGGCCTCCTACCAATAGAAAATGAGAACACACTACAACCGCAGAGTCCGACCAAGGGAGTTCGCCATAGGGGACCTCGTCTTACACGAAGCAACCCTCGTACCAAGAATCTGGCTGAGGACAAGCTGGCAGCCAAATGGGAAGGACCTTACGTTGTTAAAGCCAGACCTCGCCCAGGCACTTATCGACTTCAGGACATGAAAGGTCAAAACCTCCTCCATCCTTGGAATGCTGAGCATTTGAAGCGCTATTTTCAATAAAACTTGTATTTTTGTATTGTCCAATTGATGTATGTTCTTTTTGACAATCTGCACACCTGAATGTTCTCATTTTCTCCGCATATGGTGTAAATTTACGATCCAATGGGCAACACTTTAATGACAACAAGCTTATATCTCAAATATCTGCATGATCTTTCAAGTAACACTTTGATTGCAGCCTCAGCCAGACTGAACATCAAAGCCTCGGCCAGACCGAACATGCAAAACCTCAGCCAGACTGAGCATCAAAGCCTCGGCCAGACCGAGCATGCAAAGCCTCAGCCAGACTGAGCATGACGAACCTCGGCTAGACCGAGTGTGCAAAGCCTCAGCCAGACTGAGCATAAAAGCCTCGGCCAGACCAAGCATGCAAAGCCTCAGCAAGACTGAGCATGACGAGCCTCGGCCAGACCGAGCGTGCAAAGCCTCAGCCAGACTGAGCATAAAAGCCTCGGCCAGACCGTGCATGCAAAGCCTCAGCAAGACTGAGCATGACGAGCCTCGGCTAGACCGAGCATACAACGCCTCAGCCAGACTGAGCATAAAAGCCTCGGCCAGACCGAGCATACAAAGCCTCAGCTGGACTACGCGCGACAGACCTTCGCCAGACCGAGCATGACAAGCCCAGCCAACTTGAGTTACTTCAAGTCTCAGCTAAACTGAGGATGAAGAGCTCAGCCAGACTGGACTACTCAAAGCTCCTGAATTACTTGAAGAATCAGTTAACCGAAACCGCGCGCGCGCTCGGTCAAGGTCATTCATGCAAACGTCACGCTTGTGGCATTAGTAGCCACACTTGGTCAAAATCCCAGGTCCATGTTGTTACAACACTCTTTACTTAGTCAAATTCCTTAGTCAAATTCCAAACTACCTTTTTATTTACCAACACTCTTACAACATGATTTACAACTCCATTTTGTGGGTAATTTGACACTTTACATCTTTGACACTTTTATAAGTCTCCTTTACAAGTCAGATTGTTTTCTCACTCATCAACTTTTGCAAGTCAACCTCATCCACTTCAGACTCACCAAAATAAAGACAACAGTGTGGCAAACACAAATTTATAATTTTATTACATTTTCAACCTCACTCTGCATGGAGTTTTCATTACAAGTTCAACTTTACTTTGCATTGAGCTTTTCTTAACTTTACTCTGCATTCAGTTCTTCTTACATTTCAACCTTGGCTTTGAGCTGAGTTTCCCTTACATAAGCCTTTTACAAGTCGCCATTCTCATTCATTTCAGATGCATAAGCAAAAATAATGGACTGAAAGCACAACTCAAATTTTATTTATTCACAAAACTTGTACATACGTTCTTTATAGCAATCCAAAAAAAAAAAAAAAAAAAAACAACAAACAAAAACTTGTACAACTCACACCTATAATCACTCTTCCTCACTTGAAACGAGGTTTTCTTCTTCAACGCCCTCATCTAGGGGGGTCTGGGCCACGTCATCTTCATCAATCCGTACACCACTTAGGTCCAAGTCTGGGAACAGTTCTTCTGCCTTCCGCTTGAACATCTTCCAGCCACTGTCCCAGAACTCAGCCATTTCATGTTTGTAGAAGTCCGACTGCTGGAAGCTCTCAATAACTTCTGCTTTAGTCCTGCCCCCAACGGTCATTCCTGACGGGCCCGCCCCCCAGACACCTCCCTTGCCAAGTTGCTGGCGATCGCGACATTAACCGCCATCTAAAATTCAGCAGGCCTCTTGAATTGCTCCACTGCTGCGACATACAGATCGGGGTATGCTGCCCTTTCAAAGGCGGCCTTGGTTTTTTCATCCTCCAACTCCTTCTGTAACCTTGCCTTCTCCTCCATTGCCCTAGCACACTCGTCCTCCAGCTCCTTCTGCAGCCTAGCAATCTTCACGTCTGCTTCTTCCTTCTCTTTGATTTGCTGGGCGCGCAGTTCTTCATTGTTGATCATCGCCTCTTCAAATCGCTCGGTGGCAACTGTGCAGGCATTTTGGGCATCCCCCAGCTTCTTCTGCTCGCCAGCC